ATCTATATTATCATCAACATTTATGACAATATTCAATGAACAACATCGATTTCAAATTTTATTCAAATAAAAGTCAAATTATCGAAAACAAATCAAACTTTTCAGGTCAAATAGTCAATTGACACAAATTATAATCTAATTCAGATCATCATTTTTTTATCAGAAAAAAATTGTTTTGTTAGGGATCAATACTTGAAAATATTCATATATCAAGGAAGGTATTCTTTCAAATTGCTTTCAATATGTAAAAGATTTATTCGTAACATATTGTTTGTTTAGTGAAATATTCTTAATATGTTGTTAACTAAATTATCCATCGTTTATTTCGAGCTCCTTTAGCGAAAGTCTTTGTCTTGTTCTTCTTATTAAATCGATGATCGCACATTGCTTATCATAGAAATTTGTATAAACCAATATTGAGATGATAAATATGATCAATATTTTTTTGTCTTATTTGTTTATATGATTAATCATTAGAAGAATCATTTAATAGAGAACATTCATTTTTAGTTAATAAGTTATGTTGACTAGAAAATAATGTTGAAGCTACTATTTTTACTTGAACATGCAATTTTATTAAATATCATCAACGAATTACAAATACTAAAAACATTTTGTAATAATTAATTCATTTTCAATCCTCCTCCAGTTCCCTTCTTAATAATCGATTTTATCCCTCGAACATGCAAGTAGCATTTTATTTTATAATGTTACCTTTTTTTGAAAGTTTCATGCCTTGCTTGATTTGTTACTGTTTGTCTTCAACAAAAGAGTAAGAACTTCAAAAAAGACATGACTTTATGAGACTGTACAGCCTGAAATAATTCTATAAACAATTTCAAGTTGTTAAATTTGCTATATTTGATGCTTGTTGGATAGATATCTAGTAAAAATATAATGTTATAGAACTGATAAATTGATAATATACCATTGAGAATAATTTCTATTATCATGTATTGATTGATAAAGATAATAATTGTTAGGATGATTTTTAATAAATAATTTGTATGAATCAATATAATTTCCTAAACGAATTAATTCATTATGATGAAGTAGCTGATCATCATTCTCAATATATCATTTCCTTTACTTGATTTTGATGAAAATAAATCAGCTAATTTCCATTTAGTTCGATGAAGAAATAAATGATAATTTTCATATAATGAAAATGATAAATAAAGTATATTTGTTTTACAATTATGTGGTACAACAGATTTATGAACTATATAAATACAAAAAAATCGACCATTATATGTAACTTTTAATGTTAAAAATCAATTTCAGATTTTGTTTTGATCGACTATTCATCAAAAACACCGAACATTATTTTCTGGTAATCATTATTCATTAAGACATTTATTGAGAAAAAAAAATAAAGTTATTCTCATGCAAATAGAGTAAATTCAAATTCGTCTGGTGTCTTCTCTTTGTTTTTCGATGAATTAGTTAATAAATTACATAAACAAATCTTTAGTCGAAACTTAAGGAAACAGAAATAATTTTCTAATGGATCATGATTCATTGAATCTAACTTAGATTTTAACTCGAGTCATTAACGAATTTTATTTCATTGTTTCTGTCGAAAAATCATACGAATGAGAATATTGAATTGACTGTCAAAATCAAGAGGTATAGTGCTCTCATTTTTTTTCTCGACTTGTTCATGTTAATTATAAATCAATACAAAAAATTTCTGCTTGAGAAAAAATCGTTATCTGAATGAATATTTTCTTTGCTAGTGCTGATTAAGTTATTCTTGAACTAATTGATCAGATAAAAGATATCAAGATAAATGAATTCTAGTGTTGAGACTTCCAAATCTATATTATAGTAAATATATCAAGTAGTGATTCATTTCTCGACAAATATTTCCTATTAAGAGAAGAAACGAAGAGAGAATAATGATAAATGGTCTTGTTCTACTTTCTATATGCATGAAAATATGTAAATAAGATATTAGGAATCAGAAATTGTACTTGAATTACAATCAAGGTTTTTTATTTTTAATTTGATAAAAAGAAAAGAGTAAGAAAAATGATTTTTTATTAGAGATCTCATCGAGATTATCTTCATTTATGTCGAATTTATGAATATACTTATTTTAATAAAGAATTATTTGATAAAAATTATCGTACAAAAATATTTCTTTATCAATTTAATGAAAAAAAGAAATTTCTTTAACAAGGAGAACATGTATGTATATAATTTGATATTTTGATAATTAAAAATTTCTTTTTTACTCTTTTTAGATAAAATCTGACAATTTAATTATTGGTGTTAAACAAATAAAACGTAAGAGTTATTTATTTTCAATATTGAGTATCAGTTATTAAACAAGATGCTTAATCAACATTTTCAGAAAATACGTAAGTAAAATTTCTATTAAATAGAAATAAAGAAAAAAGTGAGGTTGATTACAAAAAAAAAAGTGAAAAATAAAGGAATATTAAATGAATCTTCGATTAATTACATTCTTGCAATGAAGGTGTTTGTACTATCCGTGAGAAAAATAGCACATATTCGGGTCAGATAAAAGCTCTTACTGCTAAAATAGCAAGATTAAAATATTAGGGGCTGTTGGCTTACTTAGAGGGAGATATTTAATTTTTATGCTAGTCACGATTTGTGTATATAGAAATATGAGTATTATTTGCATTAATTGTTTATTTGATCGTCTGAGTATTCCCATAATATACTACTAGAATCTTTTCGAAGTTTATCAATAGCATTTAGATTACATTAGTTTCAATGCCTTCTGGAACTTAAATAATATTGATACAGATAAAAATCAACTAATAGTTATCAGAATCTTGATCGCACGAATAGTTTCGATTTTATTTCGACTGAAAACAATAGATTATATAAGACTTATATTTAATTGAGCAATAAAATCGTTGAAATGAGCAATAATCAAATTTAGCGATAAATATATTGAATGAGCAATATATATAATGAATGAGCGGCAATTATACTAAATGGGCAATAATTAGATGGAATGAGCAATAATTAATTTAAATAAAACATAAAATGTACAGGGTGGTCCATAAGTCACCCGACATTCTTGTATTGGGAATAACTTTTGATAGGAACAAGATATAGACTAGTGGTTTTCACTATTTGAAAGAGCAATGTTCGGACCATCGATCCATATGATATTCACTAGGACGAAAGATGCTTTTACATAGGAGCTTTTCAATTGACATTCTTTTTCTTTGTGCATTTTCATAAATTTTCACATTAATCTTGCCTCAAATTACACCAAAATATAACTCAAATCACCCATTTTTCGCTATAAAAGTATCATTTTATGTACTATTCCGTCGACCTCTTTTTCGAGTGCACCTTCGGAAAATAATGATAATTTTATAGCGAAAACTGGGTGATTTGAGTTATATTTTGGTGTAATTTGAGGCGAGATTAATGTGAAAATTTATGAAAATGCACAAAGAAAAAGAATGTCAATTGAAAAGCTCCGATGTAAAAGCATCTTTCGTCCTAGTGAATATTATATGGATCGATGGTCCGCACATCGCTCTTTCAAATGGTGAAAACCGCAGATTTATATCTTGTTTCTATCAAAAGTTATTCGCAATACAAGAGTGTCGGATAACTTATGGACCATCCTGTGTTTCATTTTTCTTTTTGTTTCTTGTCAATTATAAATAAAAATAATGTAGTTTTTCTCCTTTTTGTTGCTCAAATATGAAATTAATATTGTTATCTAATAAACTATTTATTGTTCATTTAATATTATAAAATTGCTCAAATAAAGCTTTCTTATCGCTCCAAAGTTACTCCTAAATCATCTTTTAATTATTGCTCATTCCAATATTTTTATTGCTCAAATAAATACAAGCCATTATATAATATACTCTTTTCACAAATGTATTACAAGTGCAGATGTAGCTCTTCAATCAGATGATAGTAACATAGAGCTTCTTTTTTACACCAAGCACACATTAATAATGTTCGTTCATAGCAATTGGTAATTGAACAGTACAGGTCATAAAATTTGCAGCAAATATTTTCTGATTATTTCAATATCTCGAATTGAGGGTGTGGATGGTGTGGGTGTGAGTATGCAACAATAGGGTGTAGGTGTGGGTGTGGGTGTGGGTGGGTGTGGGTGTGTGGGTGTGGGTGTGGGTGGGTGTGGGTGTGGGTGTGGGTGTCGATTAAGAAAAGAACATCACCCACACCCATACCGGCACCCACACCCACACCAACACCCACGCCCTACACCCACATCCACACCCACACCCTTAAGTTCTGCACCTTTGTAAAAGGCTATATGATAATGATGCTAATTTATTAAAATAATGCCCTCGAATAACATCGATATTTAACTAACAAATAACTTTCTTCATTGTTTGATTAATGTGAAATAGAGTTTATGCCAATTATTTATTCAGAAAGCCTCTTTGCTCGAACATGAGCTCCCTTTTCTCTCTCATCTGTTTTTTTACAATGACATGAAAGAATTACTACACCACGTGTATTTCTAATGCGTTGTTTGTGACAGTAACGGCCACAATACTTTTTTGTGTTCCTTTCTTCGTTCGTTGTATCCATGACATGTTTATTTTCAGGTAAGAAAAGTACGTGTTTTTTTTCATTTTATTGTGTTTCTCTCACCCACTATCGCTCTCTCTTCTCTACTCAAGAAATTTTTGGCTATTTATGAGTTGACATTAAAGGAATTCTGTGTAATCGAACGTTAGTTTGAAATTATTACATTCTCTCAAAACGTCAAACATGGAAGAGGAAAACAACTTACCGTCACAATCAAATACGATGATACCCAATAGCGGGTCTTTTTTTATTTCTTAAAAATCATGTTATTCTAATAAAATGACTTGTCTTTTTCAGCCTTAACTCAATACCAGCAGGAGATTCGAGTACGACTTACTCGCAGGTAAGAAAATTGATTGTATTGTTGTGAAAAAAACGTCTCTGATATTCAGCAATCATGCCAAAGATCGAGACTTGAAGAACCTCAAATGTCACATGGAGATGTTCTACCAATTGAATATGGTATTAGTATTCAAAAAAAAATCATATTAATTCGTAATCTATTGTTCCGTTTTCAGAAACAGAACCAGTGGAAGAAACGAACGGCAGCGACCAAAATACAACCGGTGTTCAGACAACAGACAACAGATTGGGACTGGCTAGAGATACAAGTGAACTAGATTTACAGGGTAAGAACAAACAGTTCAACTGAGTTAAACCGAATTCTTGTTTTGTTGTGAAGGTGCTGGGTTAAACGCAATTGTTGAAATTAGTCCTCAAGTACCACTCTCCACGTCAAACGGTAGTTTATTTTTAATCAACTAGTTAACAGGTTTAGAACGATTCAGGACTGTATTTATATTACAGAAGAACCTGATCTTCCAGCAGCAGAACCGAATTCCTCTCGAACTCGGGCTAGTTTTGGAATGTTAACTCCCATGAGAGTCGCTCTCTCCTATCATAATGAGACAGATCATCGAGTGAAAGTAATTAGCCAACTGATTCATGATCAAATTACTACTTTGGAATCCCCTAATCCGGTCTTTTATGCTCCTGACTTTCAAACTGGACTAGCCCAACTCGATGGAACTGGAATTTTGCAAACAATCTACGACCGAGCCGATCTTGTAGTTGCTTTCCTCTCAAATACCTATCACAACTCACGTTTTTGCTACGAGGAATGGCGAGCAATTAGAGGTCGTTTCTTTGTCGGTTATCAAGATCAAGAATATGAACGACTTCTCCTTGTCAGACTGGGTGATTTCGCGGCATCCGCACTTGGCCTTTATCCTTATGATTTCTATATTGATGGAATGACAATGAGCAATGAAGACATAGCTGACATAATCGTTAGTCGATGGCGTCAAGTCCAACAATTAGACATATCAAGGGCAAGAAGAATCCGAACATTTCGTAGAGTAACGAACTATATGCAAAGATGGGTGTATATACCACCGGAATTGTCACTTTTTCTTTTCGTGGTCTCCCTTCTCTTCTTTATTCTATCGCTTGTTCTTTTCCGTTCATCAACAAATACTGATGCTAATTAATTTCTCTATCATTGATTCATTTCTATCGATCAACTAGACGGTGTGGGTGTAAGAAGAGAGCAACGCCCACACCCACACCCACCCACACCCACATCCACACCCACACCCACCCACACCCACACCCACACCCACCCACACCCACACCCACATCCACACCCACACCCACACCCACACTATTTGCAAATGTCTCTCACAGAATTACAACAACATATTGAACAAATTCGTCAAGAATTACATAGAAAAGAAGAATAACTGAAAGAACAAGAAAATATACGCGAAGAATTAGAAAAACAAATTCAAGAACTTCATCAAGAAATTGAAAAAATCGAAACAGAGATCAACACCATTACAAAAGAAATCCAAAAGATCAATGATCTCTATCAATAACTTTTGTTAAAGCAAAATGATTTACAAAAACAATCTGAACAACTTCAGTCAACTATTCAACAATTAGAAAGAGTATGACAACAGAAAGAATCTGGTATCGCTCAACTTGAAGCTCAAATTCAAGAATATCAACGTAATATTGATCGATTAGAACAACAAACTGAAACACTTCATCAAGAAATCGAAAAACTTACTGAAGAAGTTGGACAATTACGTGAAGATCTTTCTCAAGCAGAACAAATTTTACAAGACTACAATCAGGACCGTAAAGCACTTGAAGAAGAAAAACGACAACTTATAAAAACTTATCAATCCATTTAAGACGAACTTGTTGATAATAAAAGTCAGCTGAACGTTCTACAAGAAAAATTGCGCAACACACAAATATTACTTAATCAAGTTCAAGTCAAAGTCAATCAACTCGAAGCTATGGAACAGCAAAGAACACAAGAACTCAATCAACTTCAAAATCAATACGAAATATTAGAATATCAAATAGCTGATTTTACTCAAATATGTGATGATTTAAATATGCAAAAAGAAGCAGCACAACAAGAATTACAAACAGCTCAAAGCGAATACAAAGAAGCAGAACAACTATTGAAGCAATCCAAACAACACGAACGTGAAGCAAATAGGGAATATGAAAAAGCATTACTAGAAGAAAGAAATGTTCAATCACAATTGGAGAGAGCATTGCACGAAGAAAAGATGGCCGAACAAGAAGTACGTGCTGCTGAAGCTCGACTCAAAAAAGAAAAACTCTTAAATATGGGCTGTACTTTACTTGCTTTAGTTCCAGTTCTTTCTTTTTTGTGTACAGCCAAACAAGGCGACTATAATGCAGCTCAAAATGCTTTACATCAAGCTCAATCGAAACTTGAAAGTAAGAAATCAGCATGTAACGATATTCGTAGCAAACTAGATAATGCTAAAACGAAACAAAGTCAATGTTATTCAAACTTCAATCAAATGCAAAGTGAACGGCAAGAAAACGAACGAAATCTGGGTGAGCGAAAGTCGACATTTAAAAATCAAAAAAATATATTTGAGAGGCTCAAAACTGAACATCGTGAAGCCGTACGAAAGCGCACTCAAACCGAATCCACTTATAAAAGTGTAGCCAATAAATTACAACGTACACAAATGCAATTGAATACAATTAACACTGATCTTCAACGATATCGGCAGGATGTTGCTAATTGTGAAAATCAAAAACATGATCTAAATTCAAATATTACAAATTTAACACATAAAATTGAACGACACGAACGCTCTATGACAGAGCATCGAACAACAATGGATGAAAATCAAAAAGCTTTAAATACAATGATTAATCAACAGCAAAATCAAATGAAAATTGTTGAAAATTTCAAATATAAAATGGATAATTCAAAACGAACATTAGGCGAAAAAATTAATCTTGAAAAAGCTCGAATTCGAGAAATGAATCATCAAAAAACTTTACTTGAATCGAATAAAAAAACAGTCGAAGATTTATGTCATGATATAGCCGATAAAAAGCAACAACTAATTAAAACTAAAGAACAACTTGACAATACCAACAATGAAATAAAACAAACTGTTGCACGAGCAAATGAATTAAAAACAGAAAAACAAACATTGGAACAAAATTGTCAAGAAAAACAAAAAACACTTAAAAACGTTGAACGTTCTCATAATGAAACACGTATACAAATACACAAGCAAAAGGAACAAATAGAAAGTATTCGCGGAACACTTTCTACATTGGACAATCAAGAAAAACGATTATTTCAAGAAATTAAAATATATGAAGATCGATTAGAAAGCAAAACTTTGGAACTTGCAAAAACTCAACAGAATATCGAAGAGTTAAACGAAAATCAACTACAAAATGAACGACAATCGACGAATGCACGAAATGCTGTATCTAGAGCAACTGAAGAATTAAATTCGATTACAGAGAATATCAAAGAAACTAATACATTGATCGCTCAACAAGAACATAAGTTTCAACAATTGAGTGACCAATTGAAAAATTCTGCAGGCAAATTTACGATTAATCAAAATCAAACGTTAAAAGTTTATGAAAAAATTGAAAAACTTCAAGCAACCATTACGAAACTAAAAGAACATCATTGTGAAACACAACAAAAACTTGAAGAAGAACAATATAAAGTCATCGATCGAGAAACGATTCGTCGAGGATTGAAACAAGAAACAAAAACAGAAGTTCAACAAACAAATAAACAAAAACTACACCATTGATTTCAAAAAAATATCATTTAGATTTATGATATAAACGTGGTAAAATGAATATCTATCTAACACTTGATCTACTTATTCAGTTGAAAAATATTTTGTATTTTCAATTTGAATGATAAAGAAAAACAAATTAAAAACAACATTTTCATTGAGTTAATTGTTTCTTGTTTTAAAGGAATATTTCATTTTCCCTTTCTCTCTGTCTGATATTCAGAAGTAGAGGTTTATGGTTTTGCGTATGAACTTGATACACTAGTCTGAGTGATCATTTTTGTTTTCAGTGAAATACTTATAAATATTATCGTTCGCACTCTCTCAATATCTTCAAGGTCGACATCGCTAAACTGATTCGAGCGATGATGATTATTGTCAACTTTAATGCGATCTTAAGCCTCTAGATCAAAAATTTTCGAAACCCCAACTTTGAGACTATATGATTTAACCAAGCACGATTTTCAAAACTTTTATCTAGCAGCTTAAGATCACGTTATTATTGAAAACAATCATCGCCATACGACTCAGTATGGTTTATTACCCTCAGTCTGGCCGATTCTAAGATGATCAGATGTCGATTGATTCAAATCGGGGGTCTCTAGAAAAATTGTATAGCTCTTGAACGAAACAGTCTGGTAATGCCGGTCTTGGATATATTGAGAGCGTTTGATTCTCTTTTTCAAATAAACATGATTACAACAAAAATGCAAGGAGAAAGTTTTCTAGAAAACCGTTCTCAAGATTTCTGATGAAA